TCACACTTGTTAAGAAGCTATCATCAGATAGGGAAGAAAAACAAATGCTGGTGATGATGTGGAGAAAAGGGGACCCTTTTATACTGACAGTGGTAATGCAAACAGGCACTGTCACTGTGGAAAACAATATAAATGTTCCTCAAAAAATTAAAAATAGAACTACTATGCCATCCAGTAGTACCACTTCTGCGTATTTATCCAAAGGAAGCAAAATCATTAGCCCGACAAATTTTTTTTTCCCACTAACTTCAAAAGATATAGGCACCTTCATATTCACTGCAGCATTATTTACAATAGCCAAGACATGGAAACAACCAAAGGAAATAATTCCATTTGTGATAACGTGGATGAACCTGGAGGGCATCGTGCTAGGTGCAATGAGCCAGACAGACAAATATAAATGGTGCATGATATCATTTATATATGGAATCTTAAAAAAAAAGAGTTGAACTTCTAGAAACAGACTAGAATGTGGTTGACAGGGGTTGGGGTGGGGAGTGAGGTGGAGGAAATAGGGAGAGGCTGATAAAAGGGCACAAACTTTCAGTTATAGATGAATAAAGCCTGAGGAGCTAATGTACACTGATGGCAACTATAATTAATATTGTATGATTGAAAGTTAGGAGATAGATCTTAAATGTTCTCACCAGGAAAAAGAAAAAAGTAAATATGTGAATTGATGGATATATTAGTTTGATGGTGGGAATTCTTTCACAATGTGTGTATGTATGTATAATTATCATGATGTACATTTTAAATATTTCACAAGTTTTTATTTGTAAATTAAACCTCAGTAAAGCTGAAAAGGAAAAGAGAAATGTGTTGCAAAAACTGTGTAGCACCCTGAAAGGGCATCTGCTACAATGGACAGATCAGCTGTGATCTTGCAGTATAAATACACAGAAGTCCTCCAAGAAAGCAGATTAGGACTGCCTGCCAAACTGGATGTATGTGTTGTAGCAAAAATTGAGTACTAAGTGCTTTCTTCAGTAAATCAGAACTCTTGTGAAGTACCCTGGCTTTTCTGCAATTCTATATCTTGTATGCAGGCATCTTTAATTTATACTACATACTACAAGGAGCCATAGCCAGATCTGACTGAAATTTCATGTCACTTGGAGGGCTTTGATGAGATTTTGGGATAGGTAAAGTAACTGGATGAGACTTTGAAGTGGTCTTCTTTGGAAAAGGCAAGAAAGGCATTTCACACGGTATGTATGCACGGAAGGAAGAGTGTGTGTTAAAAAGTCAATGAGCTAAATATGACAAATTTTGTTAGCTACTACCCAACAGATAGCTTCCTCTTCTAATCCTCACTTTGTTAGGGGGCTCACATGGGAAAGAATCTGCCTGCAATGCACGAGACCTGGGTTTGATCCTTGGGTCAGGAAAATCCCTTGGAGAAGAGAATGGATACCTACTCTCATATTCTTGCCTGGAGAACTCCATGGACAGAGAAGCCTGGTGGGGTACAGTTCATGGGGTCCCAAAGAGCTGACACGAACAAGCAACTAAGACTTTCACTTTCATTTTTTCATGTGCCATACTCAAATAACCTATCATGACTGATTTAAACCTCTGCTAGATATCTATATTCCTAAACTCCATTGCAACTACAGGTGACCTAGTAACCCAGTTCTGGCCAATGGGAATTAAGGGAAGGTGGGTGAGTGATTTTGAAAAATAATTTTGCTTCTTGAGGAAAGCTGCTTGCACTACTAGTCTTTCCTCTTCTTCCTGTCTTGAATGCAGACATGATATGTGGAACCATTTTGAGACTATGAGGCAGTAAATATGTATGTAAGAGAAAAAGACCAGGAAGATGCTATATGTTGAAATGTATCCCCTTGAAAGATATGCTGGAGTCCAAACCCCCGTACAAAAACACATGATCTTATTTTGAGATCGGGTCTTTTCAGAGGTAATCAAGTTAAGATGAGGTCACTAGGGTAGGCCCTAATTCAATACAATGTTATTATAAAATGTCTTATAAAATGTTATTATATATCTGTATCTGTGTCATTACAAAGAGCAGAAAGTTGGACACAGATACAGGCACAGGCAAAAGGCTGTGGGAAAGCGGAGGCACAGACTGGGGTGATGCAGCAAAAGTCCGAGAATGACAAAGGTTGCCAGTCAACCACATGCGAACCAGGAACAAGGAAGAGATTCTCCCTCAGTTCCCTTGGAAGAAGCCAACCCCGCTGACACTGTGATCGTGAACTTCCAGCCTTCAGAAATGTCAGGCAGTCAAAGCCCTCTTAAGGAAGAAAGAGCAAACCTTGGAGGTTTTATGTGCCCTGATTTCAAACTATACTACAAACCTATAGTAATCAAAACAGTACTGTACTGGCACAAAAAAAGTTACACAAAGCAAGGGAACAGAGTAAAGAGCCCAGAAATGAACCCACACTTATACAGGCAATTAATCTATGACAAAGGTGAGAGCTTACAGTGGGGAGAAGACAGCCTCTTCAATAACTGAAACTAATGTATCGCTGTATGTTTCCTATACGTCAATGAAAAAAACTTAAAAATATAAAAAAATCAAAGGGAGAGTACAAGAACACAAGAGGAATGCTATTCTGCCACGAAATAAAAAGTATGGAAAAAGAAAATAACTATAAGGCAAAACATTTGTTTTTCAAGCTACCAGTTTGTGGCATTTTGTTACAAGAGCCCTAATAGTACACAATATGAAACAGAAAAAGAGAAAACAGTCTGGCCCCTGATGATATCTTTATGGTTAGTGGCAAACTCTAGGATCTTCTTCCTCTTAACTTTTCGTGTGAGGGGGAAGAAAAAAAAAACCTTTTGGTTTGAGCTAGTGTTAATTTCACATTCTGTTACTTGTACCTAGTACATCTTATAAATAAATGCTTTTTCAAACAGCCTTGAAAACAAATAAGGTTCTGACAGATATGGGTAGGAAGAAAGGAATTGAGCAAAGAAAGTCAGTGGCTGAGGAAGCCACTGAAGCAGAGGTTATATCCAGGGCACAGAGGCGCACAGCTGGAACATGGGTGTTTCGAGGGAGAGGCAATGGGAACAAGCTGGAGGGAAACTGGAGCCGTAATGTGGAAGGTGTCTAATGATATGCTAAGGTTTCTCCACTGGCAAGAAGAATACTGAAGTTTTCATAGGGGAATAAAAAGATCAGAACTGAAATTTAGTAGTAGAAGTAAGTGTGTACTGAAATAGTGAGAGAGTACAGGCAGAAAGATACATATAAAATATAATGGAGTTTTAATTAAAATAATGGAGCAGGATACAGAAAAGAGGAGGTGAGATTACTAAGAAAAAGTGGACTAGTAGCATGTAGACTGCAAGGTAGTAAAGTGACCATTTAGACTATTTTAGTCATTGACTGACATTATCCTGAGTGCTGAGAGAATGGTAATGAAACATTGGGATGATCTGGGAAACTCTGAAAATACTGGCATCTAAGTTCCATCCCCAGAAACTCTTTTTTTAATTGATTGAGAACCACTGGGAGATGGGTGTGGAAGGATGTCAGGATATTACAAATGAGGGTCATACCTCCTAATTTGAGAAGCAATGCTCGACTGACATTACCAAGTTTGTCCTATTTTAAATACAAACTTCCATGTCTTCACTCATTTAGTAACTAGTACCGGGCTATGATGGTGATAAAGAGATCGTTTGCCCTCAGAGCATTTAAAATCTTTATCAAATGTAATTTTTGATTTAAATATAGCTCCAGATCTATTTTCTTGAGTACTGGTTTTATATCAGAACAAAGACTGAGATGAAAACATACAAATTGTTGTCGTTCTGAGATTTAAAAATGCTTTATCCATTTTTTTTGTTGTTGTTTGAGGGAAAAAAAGAGAGAAGGTCTTATAGGATAATCAAAAATGAATAAGATAAGCTATTAAAAGGGAAGATTGTGATATAATAAGCTATAATAATAAATATATAAAATAATTTATATAAATAATCTTATATCACATAAATTATATTAACAAAATTTATAAATTCAGCTACATCTGAACAAATAATTTATGTCTCATACAAGAAGTAAATAGATTTAAGAGGGAGGGGATATATGTGTACATGTAGCTGATTCACATTGTTGTACAGAAGAAACTAATACAATATTATAAAGCAATTACACTCCAATTTTTAAAAAGCAGATTTAAAAAAATAGGATCTAGTGGGTCCTAGTGTAATTGTTTATCAGAAAAAAATTCATTCAATAATTAATTCATATCATTCCATACTTTAATGGCCTTTCTCAAGTTCAATAAGATTCATGGGAGACATAGCGTATTGGGACAAAATACACGACGTATTTAAGGTTTTCCAACAAAGATAAACTTAGAAACAGAATCAGCACCTAGAAGGCCACCCCATAACTCACTAATTTGTTGTTGTTCAGTCGCTAAGTTGAGTCTGATTCTTTGAGATCCCATGGACTGTAGTACATCAGGCTACTCGTGATCCACTATCTCCCAGAGTTTGCTCAAATTCATGTCCAAACTCACTGAGCCGAAGCTTTAATTTTTTCCAGTTATTTATAAATTAGTCTCTTCCTTCTGTTGTTAAACGAAAATACATTCTGGTTCCTTCACAGCTCATGCTGGACAGGAGCAGAGGGTACAGAATTAATGAGAATAAGAATCACTCACTCTTCATTTCAATACTTTAGAAAGGGCTGTGGGAGGAAGGAAGCCAGAGCCTGATGCTACTTAATGTAATGAAAATGTGAATGCTCTAAGATAATATATGAATTTCAATAACACATGAATTTCAAATTTTATCACAAGTAAAAGAGTGACAGTATTTAAAAACCTTTAAATTTCTGCCATGGGTTTCATTTAAATTGTTCTATTGGACTACTGTTATGGGCATATGATGTTTACTCTTTTTTAAGGTGGACTTAAATTAAACCATCTTTACTAGCAATAGTTACCAATTTCCCCCCAAAAAGATGCAGAATAGTCCAACAAGATTATACAAATACAGTGCACACTCACTCGTGGTGATGAGAATCTGGAGAAAAGTGAACCATTCTCTTGTTACTGACTGGGCCAGGAGTTGTCACCTGAAAGGAGATTTAAAACCAAAACCAGTCACAGATGAGTCTGTAAAAAGGCAGTGAATAATAGGAATGTTTTCATTTGAAGACATCCAATCTGAAATGCAGAATGTAACGATTCTCAAAATCTAAGATACAACTGTATGGACCAAAAGTATAATTAAATTCCTGGTAAGAATGAACTACTTTTTTAGTCTAGCATAGTTCCTCTGTTAGAATTTTAAGACTATTTAAAAAGTATCTTTATAATAGAAAAAAAAAAAAACTTTCTGAAGAAAACTAGACCACTGAGTCTCATTTCCAAATACTACACAAATGCAAATATATTTAATTGTATGTAAAAAAAAGAGGTTTACTTAATTAGTGTTGAGAAGATGATATTTCCTAGGAACAACATCTTTGCATTTAATTCTTAAATGTAAATGACATGTATTATAATGAACACATTTAAATGCATACAAATTAATATATACATACCGCTGTACATAAAATAGATGAGCAACAAGGATCTGCTATATAGCACAGGAAGATATATTTATTACCTTGTAATAACTTACAATGAAAAAGAATATATACACATAAATGTATATAACTGAATCACTTTGCCGTACACCTGAAACTACTGCAACATTATAAATCATCTGTACTTCAAAAAACGCATATGGAAGCTTAAATCAAGGAAGCAGTGAATAGTACTTTTATAGTTTTCCCATAAAGTTAGGAATTATCTGTGTATTTACACAGAACAATAACTTCATTTAAGAGAAAAAATTTTACACTTTTACATCTAAATCAAAGTAAAAACCTGATAAAGAATTAAAGATTCAACTTTTTTGATAAATGCAAGCTATTCCCATTTTCTAAGAAAATGTCACAACTTTTCTATCTAATAGAGGGTTCTCAACAGGAACATAAACATAGCATCATGCAAGAATGCATCCACAATCACAACTGACAATAGATAAAGTTACAACTTAAGGCTTTAATGCTTCATCATATTAAAAACAAAAACAAAAATGAAACTGTCTATAATTATAGGAGTGTCACTTAACATACAGAATCCAGAAAGGCATGATGAGGCAACAAATGCCTCTGAAAAGAGACGAGCATTTTCAAAAATGTATTTCGTCTTCTTTCACTTGGGTAACAAGGATGCCAGCACACACTGAAATTCCAAGAATTGCAAATACTGCAAATGTGCACAGATGATGACATTAATAACCCTATGGTTTGAGCACCACAGGTAAACATGTGGCTCAACTCCAGGACTACATCCTGCATTCATCTCAGAATGAGGTTTTCATGCTTCTCCAGTGGGTAACCCTGGAATACAGTAATCCATTTTCTACACCGTGGCTATGAGAAAAGCCGACTGTGCCTATGTCATGCTTTGTTAGAGGTTCATGATCACATTATCTCAGGGTGGACCTGACACTTTTATTCAGTTTACAGTATGTTCTATGTACAGGCAACTTATTTCCTTTGCCAGGGCTGCTGACAACCTTTTCCACACTATATTAATCTTGTTTACTGACTTTATCTTGGTACAAATATCAGAAAACTGAACTTTTTATCTCAGAGAAAAAATAAACAACATGTTGACAGAAGCAGAAGCTATTTTCAGGGCTAAAATTGCTTGTTTACCTGCAGCTATACTTATGGAAAAATGTTTAAGTCTTGCTCTGGCTTGAGATACATAATCTGAAATTTAATAAATGAAGGAATTTCACATACACCCATGTGATAAATTGCCCAATGAAAAACAATGCAACTGAATACAATAAAACAGAATTTATAACTAATTTATACCACAATACAAATGTAAGCTTTCAATCTAGTCAGAAATAATCATACTATGTATTTCTCAGAAATCATATGTAGAAACTATGAGTGCAATTCAATTGTTGTAAACAACTCACAAAAGATTTATAATAGCAAATGTAGATATTTAAATGAGTCTACATATTTACCTAGTACATAGCCCCCTTTTTGAAAAAGATGTAAATATCCCATTTCATTATTTCAAGTCAATTTGGTTTTACTTTTAAAGATATTCAAATAGGCATAATTTAGAATTTTTTAAAATGAAACAAACAGTGAGATCTATATATGATAATCTTTTCAGGTCAATGACACTGGTCTGCCTCAGGAGTAAATGTTCTATTAATGGGAATCTTTTGCTACGTTAGAGATTAGACACCTTTACCAAAAAGGTGAGAGAGATTGAGGAAGGAGTATGACAAAGCTGTTTATTGTCACTCTGTTTGTTTAACTCATACACAGAGCACATCATGCGAAATGTTGGGCTGGATGAGTTACAAGGTGGAATAAAGATTTCCAGGAGAAATATCAACAACCTCAGATATGCAGACAATATCACTCTAATGGCAGAAAGCAAAGAGGAACTAAAGAACGGCTTGATGAGGGTGATGAAGGAGAATGAAAAAACTGGCTTAAAACTCAACATTAAAAAAACTAAGATTATGACATCCGGTCCCATCACTTCATGGCAAACAGAAGGGGAAAAGTTGAAAGCAGTGATAGATTTTCTCTTCTTGGGGTTTAAAATCATGCAGATGGTGACTGCAGCTATGAAATTAGAAGACTTTTGTTCCTTGGAAGAAAAGTTATGACAAACCTAGATAGTGTGTTAAAATGCAAAGACAACACTTTGCTGACCAAGGTCCATATAGTCAAGGCTATGGTCTTTCCCGTAGTCATGTATGGATGTGAAAGCTGGACCATAAAGAAGGCTGATTGCCAAAGAACTGATACTTGCCAACTGTAGTGCTGGAGAAGACTCTTGAGAGTCTCTTGGACAGCAAGGAGATCAAATCAGTCAATCTTAAAGGAAATCAACCCTGAATACTCATTGGAAGAACTGATGCTGAAGCTGAATCTCTGACACTTTGGCCACCTCATGCAAAGAGTTGACTCACTGGAAAAGACCTTGATGCTGGGAAAGATTGAAGGCAGAAGAAGTGGGTGACAGAGGATGACATGGTTGGATGGCATCACTGATTCAATGGACATGAACTTGGGCAAACTCCAGGAGATTGGTGAAGGACAGGGAAGCCTGGAATGCTGTAGTCTGTAGGGTTGCAAAGAGTCAGACATGACTTGGTGACTGAACAACAAGATCTTAGTACACAATTCAGCTTATGAAAAGCAGGACTATCCGAGAGTTTCAGTGTATTTTAAACTTGAAAACATGTGTTTAATACAATTGATTAGTAGTAGTTACTTCAAAGAATTATAAAATATCAAGAAACATTCTTATAGAATTCTTCCTAAAAATTATAATTCAGGGTTAAATCTTTCTAAAAATAAAATGAAGCAATTTAAAATATCAGGTCAAAGTATTAATTTCTAGTAAACATCCAAGTATGTGATTATTTTATTCTTTAAAAAAAGATGCCTTCCAGTTATTTTCAAAAATGTCTTAGAAAGAAATGACAAATTAAAAAAACTTATAAGTCTTTAAATATCCTATTAGATATTCATGTTGTAAAGTCTGTTACAAAAAGTTGATTTCACAAGGCCAGATAGGAAACAGGTGTTTTGTTCTTCATGAGAAACAGTATCTACACAATCCAATTCTTGTTATTTGTTAAAACTCTTGAGACAATCATTTATATAATTAGCCAATATTTACTAATAACCTTAAACACCACAGTATATGCTCTAAATTTGTATGATTCATTTGTTACACATTACTGCATCAATAGCGACTACAATCCTAAATAAAGTAAGCATATTTCTTTTCATTATCTATACTCATATGCAAATTACTCAAGAAATTAAAGTTCGATAGGAATGAATGGTCTCTGGGTAGCATACCGTTTGTGTCAACTTCTGACCTTATTAGACTGTGAAATAAACTGTAATGCTAAAAGATCACAGGGGTCTCAGTTTTTACTATTGTTATTTACAATCAGATGATCACAACATAGTAGTGCTAGATGAAACTGTAATAGTAGCTGTACGCCACCATCAAAATTCATAAGGTCAACATGAACCCATATAAGGGAAATTTAGCCAAATGACTTCAATGACAAAATATCATTCTTAATTTTATTAGAGATGTTAAAAGAAATTTATTTCTTCCTATCACTGATTTATTAACACTGATATTATGACTTTCCCTCTAAGATAAACAAAACAGTTGGCTTTAAATCTCATTTTCATTTTGTTACTATTACCAAACCCACTGCATCTCATCCCATTCTTCTATAATTAAGATGGTTGAATGAGTTACTTTCCAAATCAGGTAGACTTACCTGAGACACAATGGTCTTATGAGATTCATAGTGAGTTTGTTCAATATGGATGATACCTTACTTATGCTCTCCATGAATAAGATTGCTTCTATAAATTCATGACGTGTTACGTCTCCACACAAACCCAAGAAACCATCCGTCCAGCCTTCTTTCTCTGCCTCTAGTAGAGCCATTCTCCTCCAACTTTTCTCTCACTTACAATTCCATTTTATTTGTCTTCCAAATGTTATTCTGCTTCAGTGCCTACAGTGACAAACACTTAGGGTGGCAGGCTGCCATTCAAAAGAAGGCCTTTCAGTTTTGTGAGGACTGCTCAATCAAATCTGCCTGGCCTCCAGGCTGCAGGGAGACATTGTCTGAGCCTCCCTGCCAGTTTGTCAAGACCCAGAAGTTTTCTGCTTCTCGAAGGACCGTTATTAATTTGACTCAACTTCTCAGAAGAAAGAAACAAGCCTTTTAACTTCAGCAGGCTCTGCATGAAGGCCCCCTGGTACATTCAACAAATGTGTCAGTCAAATACATGTGACAGATATTAAGGAAAACAACTCAACAAAAAGGAGCTTAAAAATAGAACTTTAAAACCTAGGGGCAAGAAGTTAAGGAGACAAAAGCAAAGAGGTGGAAGGAAACTTACTGTAGTTGCTAGTCTATACATTCATCTTTATTTAAAAACAAGCGGAAGAAAATAATATTCTAAACATTTTGGAATAGTTGATTTTAACTCAT